AAGAACATTTAGGGACAAAGGGAGTATTTATTACTCCCTCCGTCCCTAAATTATCTTCAAACTTTCCTTTTTGGTCCGTCCCTAAATTATCTCCTTTTTACCTTTTTGGCAAAGGATTTGTGGTTCACAACAATTCTTACACATTTCTCTCTCCTCTGCACAACTCTCCACCACACAAAACCCACTATCTTAATCCCCGTGCCGGGTCAAAATGGGAGGTAAATTAGGGACGGAGGGAGTATAATCTAAAAGCAAAATAATTTTGGGGTAGGTTTTCCCCCTAAAAAACGTCACTTTCAGATCTTCAATGTGTATTGCTCCATAAGAAATGCTTGCCCGAGTATGTGTGGAGTAAATAATGTCATGTGGGGCCAGAGTGAGATATTTTATAATCAAGTGAATGGATACAGCGGTTTCGGGTTTGATGACACTGTTCTCAATTTAAAAAATCACTGAATAGTGTTCCCTACATGATTAAAGATTTTTCATTGGTCCAATTGGAGGTGCAAAACTGCAAACAGTTTGTAATTATAAAGCACATGCTATTTTTCTACTATAAATGCAGGGCGTAAGATGTGCAATTCTCACAGCCTTGAGCTCCATCGAGATAAGAAAACATTAGCAATACTCTAACAAAATGGTTGGAATGTGGTCTCAAATACGCAAGATCGACGAAACCAAAATTACATGGGCAGCGAAGGCTACAACTATTAGAGGGTATCACGAGCCTGATCATGATTGTACAGATTTTCTAATCGTTTGTTCAAATGCATTTGTATCTAAATATCTATAAAGGTGTTCCTTCTCTTTTAGTGATATTGATCGTTTTTTGCTTTTACAGATTATTAATATATAAATACATGCAGTTGTGATAGCATTAGTTAAATTTGGAAAACAGTATCAATTTCATAGAAATACATGTGATCGCTTTTGAAATCTTCTTCTCCTATTTCTAACATATGTCTATTTATTACATACTCCATATATATATATATATACTCAACAAACCAGGATAACAAAAAGCTCCTATTTAGTTAGCGATACATTTTAATGGCCGGAGTAAAAACTTCCCAACAATGACATCACCATCCTGCATATCACAAGGGTTTATTTTTATTTCAAAGTCAGCAAACATCATTGGGTAGGCACAAGTATAAACTATACGTAGTATATAGGTACAAACAAAATAAAAGTCAATAGATAATTACATTCAAAGATGATTAACGACTCTATTTGTTTGCTTCAAAGTCCAATTGTTTATCCATTCCTAACATTTATCCTTTGTTACATCAATTAATAAAAAAAGGAAAAAGGGTGACACTTGTTTTTACCGCTCATCTCAAAACTTTGTTTAAAAATCACGCCCAAGTGCATGGCAGTTGAAGCATAATCCTAATGAAACATTAATTTGGTTAAACCAGCGATAGATTATAATTCAAGTGTCACAAAAAACATTTACGGTCCTATTGGTTCTCTCGATTTTAAGAGTTGTAGTATAAAGCAGTTTTAAAAAAAAGCTAAAGTAAGAACAGATCTGTAATGAAACTTCTATGTACTTACAGTTGTCAATTCTTGTGTTGTTCATGCGCTCGATTGTTCGCCAACGGCTGCTACAATCCATTGATTTATATGTAGTGAAGCTTTGAACAATTGCAGAAATACGCGTTTTATTTTGACCGGGTTGTGTGCCGACGGCGGCATGAATGGAGGAGTTTAGGACAACTTTTGCGGTAGAGGACCTTTCACAATAGCGTAGGGATAGAGACGTTCGAATGTTTTAGGGTGGATGTTTGGCTACTCTCTTGGGCCGATTTTAATAGTTGTGTAAGGCTTTAATAGTCATAACATGAAGTGGCTGATCTCTTGGGCCGCATCATCCCATTCACGAGTAAGTTTTTTTGTAATTGGCTTGCTTCATTCAATAATAAATGGGTTGTTTAATAGAGGCCCCTAATTTCATGGTGTGTAGTTGGTGCCCAAAATATTCACCAATGTATGAGTTAATTTGATTTAAATAAAAAGTATTGATTTAGTATTATACGTACTGATTAGGTAGTAGTCAGGATATGGGCTTGAGAGTTGAGAGTACCAATATAATATATGCTCCACAAATTGGTGAAAATTATACTCCGTCACAAATTGGTGAAAATTATATTCGTTCTTTATTAATACTCACAAATTGGTGAAAACTATACTCCATTCTTTATTAATAGTCCCGCTAGCCTTGGGCACAAGTTTTAATAATAAAGTAGTAGGGTAAGTATAGAGTGTGTATGGTAAATGATAAAGTAGGAAAGAGGGTATATTAAAAAGAGTAAAGTGATCATAAAGTAGGAAATATAGTGTATTAAGTAGAGTAAAGTGATAATAATTAAAGTAGAAAAGACGGTAGTTTGTAAAAAGTAAGTTAGATAAAAGTAATAAAAGTGGAGATATTTTATCAAAAACTTTCCTTTAATGGAAAGGGGGACAAATAAAAAAGCTGACCAAAATTTCCTTAAATGGAAAGGAGGACAAATAAAAAAGCAGACCAAAATGGAATAAGAGACTATTAATAAAGAACGGACGGCGTATTAATTTCGGGTGCATGATATAACACATTTTATATTATAATGCACTTTTATAGTGTCCATGTTAAGACACGGGTTTCATCCTTAAAGGTCAAACTTATAGAAGAATAAACCAAGTCTAATATACTACGCGTAGTATTTTATTATTTTATAACTTTCCGAGACAGATACTTTAACATCTCATTATAAATTTGTGAATGATGATCACGCTTGATCCCACAAATTTATACATAAGTATAGTTTAATAATGAATAAAGTACTTTCACATATTTGCACCTCCTGTTTTGCCCGTTTACACAGGTAATTCATTTAAAAAGGCAATTCGTATAACTAAAAGTCATCATAATACTTAGTCATTATAAATAAGGGATACTTTGAGTTTGCACCCCATTTTATTGTCCAAATTGGACCTTGCACCCCGTTTTTAAAAATATTTGTTTTTGCAATCCAACCCCATATGAAAAGACAAAAATACCCCTCCATTAACAAATAACAATTGTGTTGGCCTTCAACATATTCATGATTGAGGTCATTTTTGTATTTTCATATGGGGTTGAGGTACAAAAACAAAGTTTTTTAAAAACGGGGTGCAAAGTCCAATTTGGACAATAATATGGGGGGGCAAGGTCAAATTACCCCTATAAATAATCCACCTTCAATAAATATAAATAGACTTTTGTGTTTGGAAAAATTGTTTGTCAAAATCTTTTGTGCGTAGTATGAGTGAATTACTAGCAAAGCATTTTAATATAACAAAGAAGTTTTACAGGAGTTCATGTCAGGACAGAAGGTGTTAATACCCAGATATTCTTTAACACATTTCGATGTTAGCTTTCCACTCTAGTTCCAGCAGCGGTAATACTTAAACATGTGTCGGTTGAAGTATGTAGTTGACATTTATAAGCCGAAGGTGAGAGAATTAGGGAGTATTTAAGATTTTTTTTACTTTAAAAAGGTGATTTGTTAAATTGATTTTGGAGAAACAAAGTATATAGATAAAGTTGGTGTTGATTGAGAAAACAAGGCTTTTGAAAAAGTAAAAGTAGGTAGTGTTTGATAAATACTACCTCCGTCCCATTTATATTGGGACGGAAAAGGGTAGCACGGTTATTAAGAAAAGTGGGTTTGTGTGATTGATATTAATTGATAAAGTAAGAATAAAGTAAGAATGATTTAGAGCCACACAAACTTTGCCAAGTATGGTATGAGACAATTTAAGTGGGACTTCCCGAAAAGGTAAAACGGGACAATATAAATGAGACGGAGGGAGTAAGTGTTTTTTGCGTAATTGAAAATGTGAAAACCAGTTTACAGCACATCTCTACCTGCTTTTAGCTTTTAGATTGGAAATGCTTTTTTTTAGTAGAAGAAGTGCTTAAATGACTAAGGATAAGACGACCGGGAGTATAAATGTAGAAGAATTTCTAGAATTTTGTGCATGTGAATTCCTAAGCTTCAAAGATTAAGGGTGTTTTCTTTTGGACTGTTTTAAGTCCCAGACCAAGACTTTCGTAGTTATAAAATACACAGAGACTAGACATGTACCAGACCAGACCAGTTCAGACCAGACCAGTAAAAAAGTGGTTTGGCCTTAGAAACTATAATTAAGAGGTCCTGTTTTCATAAAAAACCTTTACTCGATTAGTGCGTGTCATAGACAATTTTTATTTTAATCGTATTTATGTAATTATTTCAAAAAATTATATACATAAATACCTAACAAATTACATGTATACCTATCCGAACATTTTCCCATAAATTTTCACTCAAGTATAGTTTATGAATGACATAACACACTTTCACATATGTGCACACCCCCTGATTTGCCAAGTTACAAAAGCAATTCGTTTAAATAATGCAATTCGTATAGATGTGAAGTGACCATATTAATTAGTAATTATGTAGTTTTTTTTACATTTAGTTAACATATATAAACCTTTGAAAATGAAAATATTCTTTGTCAAAAATTTACTGAAATGAAGAATTTTAATAAGGGAAAATTCTTGAAATATGAGTAATAATATTTCAGATTTCCTAGGTATGACTGTAATGTTTTTTATTTCCAAAATAACAATAATAAATGTAAAGTTTGAAAAATATTGTGATGTTTATAGTCTGGTACTGCCAAAACATAGCAGTAATTTATTTAAGTATAGTCTGTTGCTCTTGAAGCTTGTTAATTATTAAAGTTGTGAGTTATTTTCTTAATTTCTTCCCTTGAATATTAATCATTCTCTTAATCTATCTATACATTACTAAGATGACAATTAGTTAACATCTCGACATTAGTTGTAGTAGTATTTATTTACTTCCTCTATATTAATGTTGGAGAGTGTTGCTAAAATGACAATTAGTTAACATCTTGACATTAGTTATAGTAGGATTAATCATCTTTAATCTTCTTCCTTGAATATTAATTCTTCCCTTAATCTATCTCTATATTTTTTTTTGAATGAAATGTAAGTATATATATAAGCACCCAAAAACAGCATTTTACAATGCATCAAAACAGACCTCAATGACTATCTAAGCTAGAAAAGACTAACCTAGATATAATAATTCAGTAGAAATGCGACAGCCCCCACATCACAAAATCAAAATAAACTAATTAAGTATCAAATGCCAACTAAAAGCGTCAACTCCCAGCGAATGCAGCGAAGTAGCAATTCCAGACTAAAGCAGCTTCATCAAATTACATCCCAAAGCAATAAAGCAACACATGCACCGAACTATCCCATCCCAATTTAGAAATTCCAGCGTAATCCCTCAAATATAAAGCAGATGCTTGTCTTCCACAGCCACACTAAAACCATCACAAAATAAGAAACCCGAAACGAAGCTATAAAAGCTTATTTCATTCCAGTCAGTCCTTTTTTAATTTTCTTCCCATTTGTCCTACCCCTAAAAAGTTTTGGAAGAACCATCTTCTTTTTAGCAAAAGTTTCCTCCCAACTTAAACCTGGAGTTCTCCTTATCATTCTATTTCTGTTCACAACTTCACATTAGCATCTTTCCTAATCGTAAAAACCTTACCATCCATATAAACTTCATCAAAGTCCGGACCTAGGTCCTCCTCCTCTGAGCTGGCGGTCTCATACGAATAATATCCTGAGCTGTCACTTTCAGTCCTTTCCGGCACTCTAGCGCCAGATTGCTTAGTCTCAGGGCTAACCATCTTCTTCTTCTTCTTCTTAGCGGTTTTGTTGCCATCCAGCATAGCAGGTTCAGTTATAACAGTTTCCAGTGCAGCAGTGTCCACATCGTGCACATCTGTTTCTACTATATATCGCTCCTCCCTAACTGTAACAGTGGGTACAATAGTGGTTTCCAATATATTTCCCTCTTGCCCAAACAAAGTATCAACCGGCTCCTCCCTTGTGAGTTCATCATTGTTATCCAGAATATTTCGCCCCTGCTCAACCAAAATATCACTGTGGGCAGCTTCCTTTCTTTTCACCACATGAGTAGAATCAAGTTTCTCAGTCTCTTTGCTAACGTTCTGGACAGTTGGTGCCAACTTTTTGCAAATAAACGGGTGATGCCCGTATTCTTTGCATTGAAAGCAATAATTAGGAAATGTTTCATATACCACCGTTTGTTTGAATATCTTCCGGAAAGATAAACGTATGGGAAATGAAAGTTGTGGTGGTTTTGAAACATCAACCTCAATTAGGACCCTAGCAATGTTGTAATTCGTCTTCTCTTGAGTTATCTTATCCGTAGTCAACGGAATTCCAACCATTGATGCTACCTCACTCATAGCCTCATCATTCCATAGTTTCCATGGTAGTTTGGGGAATTTAACCCAAATAGGTACTTTTAGGAACTCTTCATCCTCAAACGAGAAGTCCTCAGATAGTTCCTTGAGCATTAATTGTTTCCCAAATATGGTGTAAGGACCCTCATTCAACACCTTAGTCCTATCCGATTCATTTTGGAATTTAAAAATAACCCAAACCCTATCATGGGTTATAACGAGACATTTAACACCCCACTTCCATTTCAGTTCATGAATTGCTTTAAGACCAAGGAATCTACCTGTGAAGCACCCAACAAGACAGTAGCCCCACATCTCAACCATGAATGGCATAACTTTATCAGTAAAGTCTAATTCCTTGCCTTTTGGGGGGATATATTTCAGCTTGATTCCATGTGTAGGATCTCTGTTATCCTTGAAAAGGGTACTCCAGGGCTTTACTCCTATATCAATTTCTTTTACAGTATGTTGCTGTGTAGACTCCTGGACCAATTTCCCAGTGATTGGCTTACTGGCAGAAACCATAGCAGCTTGGTTTATCACCAAACTAGAAGCATCTGCCTGCACCGATTGCTTCCTCTTTGTGGTCTCCAGCATCTTAACAGCAATAGCATTCTCCACAACTGCCTGGGAACGTACAACAGCAGTCCCAACCCTCTGTCCAGAATTAACAGTTTGTCCAACGTCTCTACCTGTGTCATCCTTATTTACCTTACCAGGTGTAGGAAAATTAGCAACTTGCAGGGATGGGAACTCCTCATCCGTAACCTCCAGCGCAGAGAACCTGGAAGAAGACCGGGTTGACCTCGCCATGGAAGATTCTCCATTTCCTTTCTTCTTCCTTGCCATCCCTCAGTATGTATGCCCCTGTTGCAGCAGAAGCAAAAACCACTAGAATAGTGCCGTACTCCTGACTCCCAATCAACCAGAAAACATTGGCTAAGCTCATGAAACGAGCAGGCCTCGTTTCCTGATATCAGCGAAACCGGAGAAAAAAAACAGTACTTTTGCGATACTCTATCGCGAACAATTTTTTCCAATTTTGGGCAAAATCAGCCTTCCAAGTTCAGATCCTAGCACGGATTTAAGTTAACAAGTGATTACGACCTCAGATTGCAAGAAAAAGTCAACATCAACCGTCGATTTCTGAAAAACCAAGAATCGCCGTGAATAGTGTTTTCGATTTCTGGAATCTTAATCCATCCTATATTAATGTTGGAGAGTGTTGCTAAGATTACAATTAGTTAACATCTTGACATTAATTACTACTAGAAATGATCAACGAACCAATGATTAATCGTTAATGGTTTCACAAGTAAGTAACTTCGATTTATTAATGCACGGTCGTGGTTAATAAACTTAAGAGGGATATATTTTGTTGATTAAACCGAAACTGTTGTGTTGAGGTTATCAATCTCAATTGATTTCATCAAGAAGTTAAGAGATTAAATGCTACTATTAAGTCGGTATATGGCGGTGTTCTATACTTGACTAATAGTAAGAGTTATGAATGAACGGTCGTTGTTAATAACTACCCTCGATGAATTGGATATACTCCTCGATTGAGTATTCGAGAGGGGATAAGTTATAGATATAACAATGATCGACTAAAATATATGAACAAGTGAAAAGTAGTAATGTCAAGTCTTTTTTATCTTTGAATTAAATCTCATATAAGTCGTTCATCTTCGTATTTAATTAAATTAAATCACTCAATCCCAAAACCCCCATTATCTACTAGTTTTACTAAAAAGAGAATTATTCATTTCCCTATGAATACGAACTCTACTTCACTATACTACGTATTAGTGCTAGTATTGAATTTATTTTGACGCACCGTGACAAAATGCACGTCAACTACGTATAATATTAACTATAGACATATGCGACAGTCATCTCAAATATGAACCCGCCCTAATTTTTGTATTTATTTAACTGTAATTTTTTGTGTGTAAGAAAATTATATGAACGAATTCCTACTAATCTTGAATAATTTTCTGGAGCTTCGTTGTGCAACTAATTGGTTGGCAAATGGCTTATCGGCCATCTTTTAGCTTGTTTGACCCATTTCAGCTGTTTGATTAGTTAAAGAAGCTAATAATAATGTTTGGTAAATGGCTTTAAAAATTGGCTTGTTGAATTTGAAAAAATGAAAATAAAAATGATTGAAGAAGTTAAGGAGAATAACTTCTTCACTCGGCTGGTTCAATTTATTCTCACAAGGGTATAGCTCCAATTTATCCCCATTGTGGTTTTGCAAGTTTTTTTTAACTTAGTTAACCCAATTACTCCGTATTTTGCTTACCAGTTTTTCTTCTTTTCACTCCTTTTGCTTTCATCGTTTTGAGTTAGCATTTTTTAAATTAGTCATTTAAGTAATATATACTAATAATTACTCTAATTATTTTAAACAAAACTTGTTTAGCCAAATACGTACGTAGTACTTTCTCCCAAATAATATATGCTTAACTAATATTTTATATTATTAGTTATGCTCTCTATCTTGAACTAATTTGATGTTTCTGGTTTAGATGATTGAGTGATTATAAAATTAGATACTATAAATTTTTGTAGTATGATGAACATTCGATATATCAAAGTAGATATTAAAATAGATTTTATTCAACAAATTTTAAAATTTTAAGTTATAAAAATGATTTATATCGTTGAAGTAACAATATTTATAAAATTTTCATTCTTAGCAATAATAAAATACAATGAGTATTATTATGTCTTTATATGTCTTTTTACACTCTATCAGCCATTTCGAAACAACCAATTTTACCAAACATTTATATATAATCAGCTAAAATAACCAATCGGTCAAAACAACTAAATCAACCAGCTGGTAGGAAACAGCTGACACAACCAGCTAACAGTAACAGCCATTTACCAAACAAGGCCTATATATTACATGGATAAATTTGGTTTACCTTCTATTAGAATGTAATGCTTTTTTGGGCGGATTTGTTTTCATTTCAATTTTTATTTTACTTTTTTGTTTGTTTTACGAAGAGGTATGCCTCTTAAGTGGGAGGTTGTGGTCTAGTCCTCCTACTTTTTATGAATTCATTGTTATTTTTAATAAAATCCGGTAAATTTTCCCCGACGTTTACCCCACTGATTTTGGTGGTTTGTCTTCCAGATTAAAAAAAAAACACATACATTCTAAAATACTCCGTATGATTTTTAGCCCGGCTTAAAGTATTATTTACCAATAAAAAGTGAGTGATAAAAATGTGAAAAACATCCTATGATATTTATATAACACCAAGACCGTCACTATCATCTCTCCATGTTAGATTTCTACTCAGGTTCAAAGGAGTTTATCCTTTATATTCACTTCTTATGTATAATAATCATACAATATTAAATTGGTCGTTCTCACATGATGGTGTTAGTATAAAAATCAGTCATGGACAAATTATAATACTACCTCCGTCCCGAATTGATTTGCAAATTTGACTTTTCTTGGTCAAACAGTTGCGTTTTGTTCACTAAATTAGGATGCCAATTTTTAATTATATTCTAATTTGGAGTTTACAACTTTGAAGAGATTTTGATGTAGTTTATGAATATGTAAATTTTATTTATTATAAATTAAATTAATTATGCATAAGAAGGGTTGAGTTTTATTATTAGTTGACCAAAAAAAGTTGACTTTGCAAAACAAATTGGGATGGAGGGAGTATGTTGCACTGGGAAGGGTTACAACGATGACAAAATTTTGAGGATTAAATTATACATCAATGTTGCCTAAAAATGAATTTTACATAGCTCTATAATCTTAGTTCAATTGTACGAACTTTAATTAATACTACGTGTGTCCCATGATGTAAAATATATGTGGGTTTTAATTTGCGTTGGCATGGGTTTAAGAAAATAAAGTATAAAAGTGTTGTTTTACAATTCTAACTTCCAATAAGTAAGGAGCAAGATAGAGTGTGCAAAAAGTAAATAGTAAATTGATAAATAAAGTGATAAAGTAGGAAAGTAAAAAAATCAGTGAAATTCAATTTAGTAAAATGTTCATATTTTTAGACAATCCAAAAAGAAAAGTATATCTTATAAGTGAGATGTGTGAATGTATTACGTAGTACTCCCTCCGTTCCTAAATTATCTTCAAACTTTCCTTTTTGGTCCGTCCCTAAATTATCTCCTCTTTACCTTTTTGGCAAAGGATTTGTGGTTCATAACAATTCTTACACATTTCTCTCTCCTCTGCACAACTCTCCACCACACAAAACTCACTATCTTAATCCCCGTGCCGGGTCAAAATGGGAGGTAAATTAGGGACGGAGGGAGTATTAGTTTTTTTGCCAACAACAAAACCTTATATACACGCAATTACAAAGAACACACATATATAGCGGTTTAAATAAAAAGGTCATTTAATGTAAAAAGAATTAAAATTTCACTTTTACTTTGATACACCACACTTTTATGTTCAAATACTGCACTTTTCACAGTTGCAAAAACATTAACTTATTTTTGAGAATGTCTCGGCATTTTAAAACCAATTTAATGCATTTTACCACTTTTAGAACCATTAAATTTCAAATCCAATGCACGGAAATCATTATCATTGTTCACATCCTTGCTTTTTTCTCTCTTCTAAAATGTCTTTCTCACTTCATAGTTCATAGTTTATACACCCATATATATAGAGAAAACTTCATGTCCAGCCGGCCTGACGGGAACCGCCGTTCGGCCGAGGACATTTTGGGCACTCCCGATCGAATTTTTTGATGAATTTTTTTGAGCATGTTCTTAATCAAGTCTAGTTTATCCATACTAAACTTCAGCTCAAAATTCGATCAGGAAGGCATTCAAATCATTTTTTGAAGTTGACTGCGTTTTTATATGTATATATTTTGACGTAGTCAACTTCAAAAAATGATTTGAATTTCTTCCCGATCGAATTTTGAGCTGAAATTTGGTGTGGATAAACTAGACTTGATGAAGAACATGCTCAAAACATTTCATCAAAAAATTCGTTCGGGAAGTGCCCTAAATGCCCTCGGCCGGACGGCTGTTCCCATCAGGCCGGCTGAACGTGAAGTTCTCTCTCTCTCTCTCTCTCTCTATATATATATATATATATATATATATATATATATATATATATACACATATTCCGGACCAGTTAACTTGCAAAAATCATTTGACAACCTTCCCGATTGAATTTTTGGCTGAAATTTGGTATGGATGAACTAGACTTGATGAGGAACCTACAAAAAAAATTTTAGGAAAAAATACCACCGGGAAGACCCGCAAATGGAGGAGGCCGGACGGGGGGAGTGGTCCGGCCTGGCCGGACCTGAATATTAGTCTATAGTATATATATATATATATATATATATATATATATATATATATATATATATATATATATAGGGTAGGGTTCTAGTGAGAACCCCTCTTAAAATGAGAACCCGTGAGAACCCGTGAGAACCCCTGTGAACCGGTGGTATTTTTCGCTGAAATTTTTTGTGTATGTTCCTCATCAAGTCTAGTATATACTTGATAGAGTTGTATTTTTATTATGTATTATTTCTATTTTAACTAGTTTTATTTATTGTTGTTTGTAAAATTACACACTTTTGGTGTAATTAGTTAATTTTCTTAGATAGATGTAATTTGTTTAGATTAGGATTATTCTGAGCTTAAAACAGGTCAAGATCATCCATAGGATCAAGTTTGGACCCCAAAAGATCAAGGAAAGTGCAAGGGGACAAGATAAAAAGAAGATTGAAAAAATATTTCATATACCCGGTCGGGTATAGGCAATACCCGATCGGGTATTGAGTTGATTCGGGTGTCAAAATCAGAATCTGGAGAAACAAAAGAACGTGCAGGATTTTGACTTTTTGGCTCATACTCGACCGGGTATGCCAACATACCCGACCGGGTATGTCCCGAAAAGTCATTTTCCGGGAAACTGCCTAAAATACCCGATCGGGTACCCTATATACCCGGTCGGGTACACCACCTTGCCACCTCCAAACACCTATAAATACACCCCTTTTCCTTCACAATAATATCATCCCTTCTTCCATACTCTTAAGCTCAATTTAGAAGAGTATTTCTTTTATATTTTTATAGCATGTTTAGTCTCCAAATGAGGAGCTAAACTTCCATTTCTTGGCGTTGCTCTTGAAGCTTGTTGATTATTAAAGTTGTGACTTATTTTCTTAATTTCTTCCCTTGAATATTAAACATTCCCTTAATCTATCTATACATTAATGTTGGGGAGTGTTACTAAGATGACAATTAGTTAACATCTCGACATTAGTTATAAGTAGTATTTATTTACTTCCTCTATATTAATGTTGGGGAGTGTTGCTAAGATGGCAATTAGTTAGCATCTTGACATTAGAGTAGGATTATTCATCTTCAATCTTCTTCCTTGAATATTAATTCTTCCCTTAATCTATCTCTATATTAATGTTGTGAAGTGTTGCTAAGATGACAATTAGTTAACATCTCGACATTAATTACTACTAGAAACGATCAACGAACCGATGGTTAATCGCTGATGGTTTCACAAGTAGGTAACTTCGGTTTATTAATGCACGGTCGTGGTTAATAAACTTAAGAGGGATTAATTTTTTTGGTTAAACCGAAACTGTTGTGTTGAGGTTATCAATCTCAATTGATTTCATCAAGGAGTTAAAGAGGTTAAATGCTACTATTATATCGGTATACGGCGTTGTTCTATATTTCATTAATAGTAAGGGTTATTAATGAACGGACGTTGTAATAACTTCCCTCGATGAATTGGAGATACTCCGCGATTGAGTATTCGAGAGGGGATAAGTTATAGATATAACAATGATCGACTAAAATATATCAACAAGTGGAAAGTAGCAAGACCAAGTTCCTTTTATTCTTGAATGTAATCTCAATTAAGTCGTTCATCTTCGTGTTTAAATTAATTAAATCACTCAAACAAAACCCCCCCTTTATTTACTAGTTTCATAAAAAGAATTGAAAGTTATTCCTTTCCCTGTGGATACGAACTCTACTTCACCTATACTACGTATAAGTGTTAGTATTGAATTTAATTTGACGCACCGTGACAAAGTGCTTGCCAAATTTGGCGCCGTTGCCGGGGAAAGACAATTAATTTTCTTTTTATTTTATTTCATAAAAAAAAAAAAAAAATACTCCCTCCGTCCCAGAAAATTGTTCCCGGTTTCCTTTTTGGGCCGTCCCAAAAAATTGTTCCACTTTTCCCTTTTGAAAAGTTTTTTGTGGCTACAATTCATTTACCTTTTTCTTACTCAATCACAATCATACATTTCCACTTTATTCCCACTTTCTTAAACTCCGTTCCAAGTCAATGCGGGAACAATTTTCCGGGACGGAGGGAGTATAAAAACTAAAATCTTACTCTCTTTTTTGAGCTTACATGAGTATATGGATATCAACACATCATCCTTAGAGAGTCAAATTTCCACCTTGACTTCTCTAATAAAGGAATTTATATTAAATTCAAAAGCTCAAGATATCAAGACTTGCAACATTTGCATGTCTCACAAGCATCTTACGGATTTTCGCCCAAAGCTCCGAGATGAATACCTTGAACAAACTGATGATGTTGGTTACCAATAGGAAGTACCTCACATGAGGTATGATCCGCTCTCCAACTCTAACATGTCTACGGATGATATGGTCTGGGCTTTTGCTACCAACATGACCACCATGCAAAACAACATGGTGCAATTCCAAAATGAGACCAAGTCTAGCATTTTAAACTTGGAAACTCAAGTGATTCAAATAGCCGGAGCTGTAAGTAGGCTTGAAGCAAGGGAATCGGAAAAACTTCCCTCTCAAATAGAATGTGATCCTAAACGGCAAACTTTTGCAATCACATTGAAAAATGAGAAGGAAATGCAAAAGGAGATCCAAAATCCAGAAGAAGTAGAAGAAGAAAGAGACACGGAGCTCCAGCTGGTCAAAGAAGAGGATGAACCGAGTTTCAAGGTCAAATATGTAACACCGTCCCCAAATGTATTTACTTTTACGTAAATAATGTAATGAACCTTATGGAATGATTTATGAATTTACGAAGTTGTAAATTTTTATATTTCTTTCGCGTGAATAGTAAATTGCACGTGGGACCCACATCGGGAGCGGGGACCACCCAACATTCCCGAGACCACATATTTTATTCATCTTGGTCAATATAATATTTATATGGTGGTGGATATTTGAATGGAAAGGCCCTGTGTTGGCCGATTGGGCAAAAGAGGCCCACATACCGGTACCGACAATTTAACAGATAACAACCCGGAAATGATTTTCGGAGACTTCTAAATTAATGTTTTGGAATATATATTATTTCAAGAGGCCATTATGATTTGGAACACGCAATATATTTTATTCGACCCGATAAAATAAAATATATTTAAAACAGTCCGAAAAATACAACTTTCGGGACCGATTGTACACACCGGGACACAAAGGGATGACCTCCCACATGAGTGGGGGACACCCCACGTTTTTATGTGCTGAACACATCAAGGGAGGGCTGGGTTGACAAAGGGAAATGGGGAGGAGATGCATTTGGCATCAAAGGTACAATTGGGAGGACCCATCCCAACATTATTTTGAGAGAAAAGCCAAAGAGGCTATCTCCTCACTCACCCACCCCATCATTTTCGGCCAGCCTCCTTCCAGCAAGAGCAAGAGTGATTCCCAGCCTCCTTCCTCCATTGTTGAAGAGAACTCATCAAAGAAGAATCACCCAAAAAGGAGCTAAAGTGCTAAAGTGTGAAATAATTAAGGTAATGACCTTATTATAACTTCTTTATTTTTCTTCTACCATATGAGATATATATCATTGAAGAATCCTTAAGAGGGTTGTACATGTTATAAGTATGGAGTTATGGGTTGGAAGGTGGTTCCACGTCCAAGAACGGACTTAGGAGCCAAAACGACCGGTTCACCGGAAAAATAACCTACCTTTTAGAGGTTATTTGTATTAATATGGGTTTTGTGGTTATAAAACCTTGTTAGGCACTTGTAGAGGGTATTTCAAGTGATTTCACAAAGTTGGAAAAGTCGCCGGAGTTGTCGCCGGAGTTGACCAAAAGTCGCCAGAGTTTCACCGGAGTTCAACCAAGAAGGGTAGAACTTCATAACGCTAGTTCAAAGTGAGTGGACGGCTTAATATCTTATAACTTTTGGGTTAATTATGAGATTACCTAAATAAATGTTATATGAGTTCATAATGATGTTTAAAAGATATTTAAACATGTGATTAGCCAATAGGGTTAAGATTGTATGAAAGAAATAAATCGTTTGTGCATGGAATATGATATGAAGAATTATATAAAATACATATTTGTTTGAAATGTATAAGAAGCACCAATGAATATTATTAACTTAATTACATGATGATTAAGTTGATAAGTGTAAGACTTGAAATGGCGGTCAACGACAACGTTGACCGATGGATAATGGATTAATTAATATCGGTTGATATTAGTTAATTATACATTTATATAATTGCATGGCTTTGCATGGATTGTGATACATAAGCTTTATGTATTGAATTAGTTATGAGTAACTAAGTATGATATAGACTCTATCTAGGTTGATAGGAGGTTGATCATAGGAAAATATTTTGGTGGAGGACCCTAGTACTTAAAAGTACTTAACACTCAAAATTTGGTGGAGGACCCTAGTACTTAAAAGTACTTAACACTCAAAATTTGGTGGAGGACCCTAGTACTTAAAAGTACTTAACACTCAAAATTTGGTGGAGGACCCTAGGACTTAAAGTCCTTAACACTCGGATAATAAATTGGTGGAGGACCCTAGGACTTAAAGTCCTTAACACTCGGATAATAAATTGGTGGAGGACCCTAGGACTTAAAGTCCTTAACACTCAGATAATAAATTGGTGGAGGACCCTAGGACTAAAAGTCCTTAACACTCGGAAAATATATTGGTGGAGTACCCAAGGATTATGATCCTCAAAACTCATAGATTATGATAATGAAATAGGGACAAGGAGGAGTCCTATACACTCATAGGTATATGGGTGGGTTGGGGTTTTTAGTCAAGAATATTGACTATTACTATTTTTCCCAAATAAAACGGTGATCTACGGATCGGATATTTTCCAAGTATATATATACTAATAAGTATTTCATAACTTGGGGGAAAGACTATTTATTTAAGTATCACCCTATGTTTGGGTCTTATACTTGTAACGCCAGTTATTCTATATTCAGCCTGCTACTCGCTCGGTACTTTTACTGACCCCTTCGGGCCCCCCCCACCATTTTCAGGTTGAAGCTAGAGCTTGCTACTTGCACCTTCTCACGGGTGATATCACTTCAGGAAGACGTGGTTCGTGCTTCCTTATTTTCTCTCAAACTACCGAACACTTGCTCATGGATATTTATTCTACTATAAACTATTTTTGGGGCTTGCATGCCCATGTTGTTGGCCGGGTGTGGCTTATGACTTACCGTTGAATATTTCCGCTATTCATTGGTTTAAATGTGATGTTGTTATGTATGTTTACTACTGAGTATGGATGGTTATTTTCTCGAACGCCTTGTGTAATTAAGTGAGGTTGACTCGCGGGTGACGTCACTCGATTATACGGCGGTTGTGCACGCGCTTGGATTGCGGTCTGGGGCGTGACAAAATATCTACCATTTTCATTCTTTGAGGTACCCCCAGCAATTCTACAAACTTTGAGGGAAACTCATAAAATTGAAAAGGATAATTACATTTTTGAAACATTCAGCAAAATTGAGGGATCAAAATATTTTCTCTTGACCATGTTAAATGATAATTTCTTTTCCTCACTCTCACCACATAAATCAATGGAAATCTGGATATTTGATCCTGGAAAGATTCTCAGAGTGAAGGGCCAGAAAATTGAGCATTTCTATGAATGTCCTAGGAATGAAAATTTGAACAAGATTAATTATCATGATCCAAGTTTGAATGATTGAACACAATCATGGCGTCGTGCCGCAACGTTAAACGAGTCGCTTCTTGGGAGGCAACCCATACAAGGTATGTTTACTTATTTTATTTTATTTTTTGCACTTTTAAAAAAAAATCGTATCACCCCATTCGAACCCAACACCCCACACCCTCCATAGTTACAATTTCACACTTTCATATCTTCATCATACATCCACCAAATCAACAATCTAAACCCATATTCTTCTTATCCTCCCCACATTTTTCATTTCTATACCAACAAAACCCACCAAATAATCCAAAATCCGAATTCCCTAACTCCACCTACACCAAGTCCGAATTCTCCTTTTCTATGACGTCTTGAAGATGAGCACTAGGGACAGTGCTTTGGCTAGCTTGGGGGGAGAGTTTCATGGAATACTCACATTCATACTATTCATTCTTGTTTAAAAAAAAATAAAAAAAACATAAAAAAGCTAGTTAGGTTGAAAACCCAAATGGGCAATCTAAGCAATAAAAGCAAAAAAAAATGAGTGAGTAGGGGAGAAAGGAAAAAAATAGAGGAAGAGGAACATGGAAAGCATAGAAAACAAGTAAACCCAATATCATGAAGTGTGTAGTGCATAAGTGGAATCATTTCACTTTGTAAAACACATTTTAAACATTACTTGGTTGTCTTTTGTTTTGTTCATGATTGTCTCAAGTGTTGATGAAACATTGACTTTACTCGAGGACGAGCAAAGAAACTAGTGATGGAGTATATGGCCCAGGAACCCCCGGCCCACAGACTCCTACTTCTCCTACAAAGGCCCATTGAGTCCATGGAGCATCCGAGGCCCAAATACAGTGGCCCAAGTCCAAGGAAGCCCAAAATACACACTGGGGTGCCTTCGGCTGCCTTGGCCGAAGGCTCCAAAACTCACAGAATAGCCTCTTTTGGGCATACGAAGCTACTGGGAGAAAACGGCGGGAAACAGGAGCCTTCGGCATATGGAGCCCCCGGTACCAGGAGAGCCTTTGGCTACACAGGGCCTTCGGCCACACGAAGCCCCCGGGTACCAGGAGAGCCTTCGGCTACACAGGGCCTTCGGCCACACGAAGCCCTCGGCCACATGAAGAGCCTTCGGCTAAACAGACTCAATCATCGAAGATTCCCTTTGGGGACAGCCAACCACCGCAATTAATGCGACGTCACATCCACCCACCGCATTCAATGCGGTGAACATGCCATTGCCGGTGCCACCCCGATTGAGGTGACCCATCGGCCGTTGGATTATTGACACGTGTACTCTCATCGCATTTATTGCTGCTATAAATAGCAGCCCATTTCCCCTTGTAAACGATCCACATACCAACACATCTCGAATTATTAATACAATCGACTCTCCCTCCTCCTATTTTGCTCTGACTTCTCTCTAAGTTATTCCCGCAATAACCCCTCGGATTAGATACCCCCCGGGTAGACTATCCATCACTAAGCATGGGGGAGTTGATAGAATTGTAGTTTTATTGTGTATTATTTCTGTTTTAACTAGTTTTATTTGTTGTTGTTTGGAAAGTTACACACTTTTGGTGTAATTAGTTAATTTTCTTAGATAGATGTAATTTGTTTAGATTAGGATTATTCTGAGCTTAAAACAGGTCAAGATCATCCAAAGGATCAAGTTTGGACCCCAAAAGATCAAGAAAAGTGCAAGGGGACAAGATAAAAAGAAGATTGAAAAACTATTTCATATACGCGGTCGGGTATAGGCAATACCCGATCGGGTATTGAGTTGATTCGGGTGTCAAAATCAGAATCTGGAGAGACAAAAGAATGTGCAGGATTTTGAATTTTTGGCTCATACCCGACCGGGTATGCCAACATACCCGACCGGGTATGCCAACATACCCGACCGGGTATGTCCCGAAAAGTCATTTTCCGGGAAATTGCCTAAAATACCCGATCGGGTACCCTATATACCCGGTCGGGTACACCACCCTGCCACCTCCAAACACCTATAAATACACCCCTTTTCCTTCACATTAAGGCATCCCTTCTTCCATATACTTAAGCTTAGTTTAGAATATTTATTTCTTATATTTTTATAGCATGTTTAGTCTCCAAATGAGGAGCTAAACTTTCATTTCTTGGTTTTGCTCTTGAAGCTTGTTGATTATTAAAGTTGTGAGTTATTTTCTTACTTTCTCCTCTTGATTATTAATTCTTCCCTTAATCTCATTCTATATTAATGTTGGAGGGTTGCTAAGTGACGATTAGTTAACGTTCCGACATTAATTATTACTAGAAACGATCAACGAACTGATAGTTAATCGTTGATGGTTTCACAAGTAAGTAGCTTCGGTTTATTAATGCACGGTTGTGGTTAATAAACTTGAGAGGGATTAATTTTGTTGGTTAAACCGAAACCGTTGTGTTGACGTTATCAATCTCAATTGATTTCATCAAGGAGTTAAAGAGGTTAAATGCTACTATTATATCGGTATACAGCGTTGTTCTATATTTGATTAATAGTAAGGGTTATTAATTAACGGTCGTTGTTGATAACTACCCTCGATGAATTGGAGATACTCCGCGATTGAGTATTCGAGAGGGGATAAGTTATAGATATAACAATGATCGACTAAAATATATCAACAAGTGGAAAGTAGCAAGACCAAGTTCCTTTTATTCTTGAATTTAATCCCAATTAAATTGTTCATCTTCGTGTTTAAATTAATTAAATCACTCAAACAAAACCCCCCTTTAGGATTACAATGGCCCCTACAACTTCCTCCTTTTGCCATTTTCTGCCCATAATAGTTCATCTTCTCTCTTCCCACCGTCGTCGGATACCCTTCATTTTTTCATTGGTTTGAACAAATTGAAATTAAATTAAATATAATATATATATATATATATATATATATTTTGGTTCAGGTGAGAAATGCATCTAATGTGAGAAATGAGAATGAATCTCAGCCATTGGATTTACGAAGTTGCACTAAAATTGGCTTTATGTTGCAATAATAATTAAATTTTGCACATGTTGCACTAAAACTGTTTTATGTTGCACTAATATTTGACGGCGTTGCACCGAAATAACTTCATGTTGCACTAGACATGTGTAATACGGATTTTTCAGAAGTATTTACAGAAATGTCACCGTGCTAGATTGCATATTTCATTGTATCATGAAGTGTCTTTTACTGCAACTTAGTCGAATCCAATGACTGAGATTCATTCTCATTTCTCACCCAAAGAGTTCTTCTCACTTGAACCTTACCCTATATATATATATATACATACATACATACATACATACATACATATATATATATATATATAGATAGATAAGAGATCACATACTAACCATGCTTAAAATACCAACTTACTAACTCAATAATATGCAACACATTGAACTTCAATATGCAGTACAAATAATGTAAAGATGCACACTGTGAATTTCAATATGCAATAAAAACAATATGCAAAACTTTGAACTTTAATATGCAGTACAAATAATATGCAACACTTTGAACTTCAATATGCAGTACAAATAATGTAAAGATGTACCGTTTTTGATAGTTTGTAGGTTAGCATGGGAGGAATGGTTAGTATGTGATCTCACCCATATATATATACCTATATAGGGAGCGGTTCCGGTAAGAACGCATCTTAGGAGAAAAATGAGAACGAATCTGGACCGTTGGATTGAATTATGTGGAACTGAATTGTGCATTTGATGAAACCGAAATGTGCATTAGATGATATGAAACCGAAATGTGCATTAGATGATATTGAAATGTGCATAATAAAAATTTAAACTCACATGTGCATTAGGTGAAACAGAGATGTGCAGAATAAAAGGTACTAAAATAACATCACATCGTACCTTTTATTCTGCACATTTTAGTTTCATTTAGTGCACATTTCAAATCCACCTAATGCACAATTTAGCTTCACATAATTCCACTACATTGTACCATTTTTGCTGCACATTTCAATTTCACCTAATACACATTATAGCTTTATCTAATGCACATTGAATTTCACATAAAGCAAATCTAACGGTCCAGATTCATTCTCATTTTTCTCATAAGATCATGTTCTTATTTGAACCTAAACCTATATATATATATATATATATATATATATATATATATATATATATATATATATATATATATATATATATATATATATATATATATATATATATATATAGAGAGAGAGAGAGAGAGAGAGAGAGAGAGAGAGAGAGAGAGAGAGTGCTATTCCTATCCGGAAATTCCGGATAGGAGCCCCATCCGGCCTCCTCCATTTGGGTGCCTTCCCGGTGGTATGTTTTGCTCAAAGTTTTTTTGTATGTTCCTCATCAAGTCCGGACAAGAGCCCCGTCTGGCCTCCTCCATTTGGGTGCCTTCCCGGTGGTGTTTTTTGCTCAAAGTTTTTTTGTATGTTCCTCATCAAGTCTAGTTCATACATACCAAATTGGAGTAAAAGATTCAATCGGGAAGGTCGTCAAATCATTTTTGCAAGTTAACTGGTCCGGAAAATACATATTCCGGACCAGTTAACTTGCAAAAATCATTTGACGACCTTACCGATTGAATTTTTTGCTGAAATTTAGTAT